GGTTCCCCGGAGCCCTCGGCTATCTTCTTCTGCATTTCCTCCATCTTGGCCAACATCGCCTCGTACTTGAGGTCTGCATGAGGGGCAGAAGTGGTGGCGTGTGCTTTGGTGGCCTCCATCTCGTCAAGCCGGCGCTGGAGGGCCGCAATGATTTCGTCCCGGGGGTCCTTCGGGAGGGCCTCCACCCCCTGCGAATGGACCCGGGCCGAGTGGGCCTGGTTGATTTGGTGACGGGCGTCGTTGGCATGGAGAGGTGCCTTGCCTTTGTCCTGAGGGGGACGCCTTTCATTGGCCCTGGAGACGGATCCGCCACTTTCCTGAGGCCTCTGGAACGCCTTCCCCCCCGAGGCGGTCTTGGACCCCTCGGCGGTCTTGCGCCCCTCCGAGTCTCTCGAGGGCGGAGGTTCGGAGTTGTTCCTTGTTCATGTTGTGGCGGTCCCGGGACTGGACTTCCTGGGAGGCCGTATCTTGGGCCACGACCCCCTCGGAGTTCCCAATCCGGAGGACCGGGTTCCCGAGGGGGTGTGGATGAGGGGGAGGCATAATATTCTCCCCGACCTGTGGTTGGAGTGGAAACAAAGTGCCGAAGGCACCCGGGTTCTGGGTGAGCGTCTGGATGAAGGCGGAGAGCGCTGATTGTACGTCGATTGTGATGACCGGAGGGCTAATTTGATTCTCGCTCCGGTCCTTCTTCTTGGCCTCGATGCCGAGGCGGGCATCGGGGGCATTCTGTTGAATCTGCTGGCGTAGGTCGACAGCCGTCTGGTCCAACCCGGCGATGACGCCGCCCCCGGGAGCCCTGTTGGAGGCTTCGGGGACGTCGACCTCGCCGAGGGCCAGGTTCCTATCCTCTACATTCTTGGAGTTGGCACGAGTTGTTCTCACCATTTTAGCTAGGTGTTTTGTGTTTGGTCGAGGGGGCGGGTTTCTTACTTGATTGTTCGACCTCTCAACGAGAGCACCAAATGATGGATAGTGTACCCGGGGGTAGCTTATCCGAGGGGTTATTACGGGGAATAACTAGAGAGAAGTTAGAGCAAGTAAGTAGAGAGAGAGAGAGTATATTAGAGAGTGTGGTCAGCGTATTTGCTTCTTGGTTACAAATGGGGAAATGGGGTGCTATTTATAGTAGTAATAAATGCCAGACAGGGACACGTGTCAAGCACCCATTGGCCGAGGGGTCACCTCAACTGGTTGGCGCTGGCAATCGCATGTGGCCGCATTTAATGCGGCTGTTGGATGTGACGTCGTACTTGGTACGGTGATCCATACGCATGTGGAGCGGATATCATGTCGGAAAAGGTGCCCTCGGCTCTAGATGACTAGCCGAGGGCTCTGAGTACCGGGGATCCCCTTAGTGCCGAGGGCTCTAGGTGCTGAGGGCTACTGATTATCGACTTTTTCTCCCAGTAACCTTGTTTTCCTGATTTGGCCATCCTGTGAGATTCAGAGCCTTCGGCCAGGGGGCCGAAGGCACCCCTGGTGCGCATTGTGGGCCGCTTGGTACTCTGGGCGCCGTGATTTGGGCCTGTTGTGCTTCCTGGGCCTTTTGGGCCTTTATTGGAGTAGTAGGAATCTGTGGGCCGGGGGTTCCCGGGCCATATACTCCATCAGCGTCATTTCATGTATTATTTCTTTCAAAAATGTAAATTAATAGTGTTAATAGCATAATTAAAATATTTTAGAACTCATGAAGACGCTATTAACATTCTAACCTTCTATTGCGAAAGAAATAATGTTACCCCTAATCTATATAATTTCAACACTTATAATTTTCTATTTTATATTGTACAATTAACCACATAAATTTAAATTTTTGAAAGAAATAATACATGAAAAGGTGCAAAAATAACATTTTATATAAAGTTTGGGGTATTTAAATTACATATACAAGTTTAGGGTGTTTACCTCACACCCCTTCAAAGTTTGGGTTATTTTTATTATTTTTCCCATATATAAACAGTTATTACAATTTTATTCTTAAAAAAACATATTTAAAGTTGCACATAATTACACAAATCAGATTTTTTTTTGGGGAAAAAGGCGGCTTAAATTGATATCACAACATTCACATAGGAAACAACAAGATAAAATGACTACTTCCAACCGCCGACCCTTGAACCAGACTCTGAGTCAATCACCTTGCAAAAAGCAATATGACTTGTTGATCTTGTGATAGATCGAAATGAGCCTAACGCGGTCAAAAAGACCTTGCTCAATCCTAATGCAAGAGTCTAGCATGAATAAAAATAAACAACGACAACAAGAAAAGTCTGACCAAAGCAATTAACAACAAATTAAAGAAAATATAAAAGTGGAAATGCATCTACATCCTCAGATTCCGGAGGATCTTCCCTTGTCCTTCTCTGGCTCGAGATGTCTTCAGAGCTCTCGGTGGTTCGAATGGTTGAGACTCGCCTCCTTTCCGTTTTTTGGAGCATCAAGTGCCATGTTGTCCCTTCAATATGCTCGTGCTGCTTCCCCTCCCACAACTTTTGTGGATTTTGGGTCTTGACTTTTGGAGGATTTTGCTCTAAATGTGTTTTTGTATACGTCTGTATAACTAACGATGAATACTTTCTCCGTTCTATTTTAATTGCAAGAGTCCACTTTTCACGTTTGTCAATGCACAAATTTGACCGTTAATATCTTTCATTCCTTATTAGTAAAAAAATTAAAAAAAATAGATTTTGAAAACTTAAAATGAGAGGAATTTAAAAATACTTTTTAAAAATTTAATTTATAATACATTACGGAGTAATAAATAAAATAAAGTCAAAGAAGAATGTGTGAATAGTGCAAAAAATCCAATGTTGCAATTAAAAGAAAACGGGGGTAGTATTTGTTTTGTATATTTAATACTCCGTAGTTTATGAAAATAATACTCCATTGATTGATAGGATAATCATGTATTAATTCTTACTAGTTAGTATTGTGGGGTGGCCAGGGTTGAGTTTAATAATCCTGGAAAATGCTTAGCAAGTACAAGGGTTTTTATTTCATTAATGACAATTTTGTGTAATCAATAATAAAGAATGTTGTATAGGGAATAATAAACTTAATATCCTATTTATGCACATCTACTATGTTTTAGTCCCATTTCGGGAATTCTTTCTAAGAAATATTACATGTAAAATTACATGCATGCGGAGTTAGCTTATAACATATACGGAGTAATTCGCATTATATTTCAACAGTTTGGAATATACTCCCTTCGTCCCTAAAAAGATTGTCATGTTTGATCGGCACGTATAATAATAAAGTAAAAACCGTGTGGTAGATATTTGTGCAGAGGAGAGAGAAATAACAGAAGCCACAAATCGATTGATTTAAAGGGAAAGTCGCAAAGTTTTTGGAACAACCAAAAAAGGAAAGTTAGCAAAGTTATAAGGGACAGAGGGAGTAATCAATATGTATGTATATATATATATATATATATATATATATATATATATATATATATATATATATATAGGTTTTGGTTCAAATAAGAACATGATCTTAGGAGAGAAATGAGAACGAATCTAGACCGTTAGATTTGCTTTAAGTGAAATTCAATTTGCATTAGATGAAACTGTAATGTGCATTAGTGAAATTGAAATGTGCAACACAAAGCATATGATACAATGTCATTAAGTGAAGCTGAATTGTGCATTAGGTGAAATTGTAATGTGCACTAGGTGAAACTGAAATGTGCAGAATAAAAGGTACGATGTGATGTTATTTTTGTACATTTTTTTCGCACATTTCAGTTTCACCTAATGCACAATTGAGTTTAAATTTTTATTCTGCACATTTTAGTATCATGTAATACACATTTCAGTTTGATCAAATGCACATTTCCGTTCCACATAATACAATCCAACAATCCAGATTCGTTCTTATTTCTCTCCTGGGAGTCCGTTCTTATCGGAACCGCTCCTATATATATATATATATATATATATATATATATATATATATATATATATATATATTAGAGGAACTTTTATATATATATATTAGAGGAACTTTTTAAGAGCATACAAAGCGCCACATAATCCTGCCATGTCATTATATGTAACAATTATTTACTTATTTTTATACCTTTTGTTTTTAGTAGATTCCATTTTTGATTGCATATTGATATGGAAACAAAAATCCTTATAAATCCACCTTAATTAATTTGGTAAGCTTCAAATAAGTGAAATAATTTTTGGTTATCAAAGTGAAATTCTAATAAAGTTTATTGATATGAAAACTAATTTATATTAGTTTACTACACCGAATTAAATAGAAACAAATATGTAAATTAGTTTACTTATTAATTTGACAACTATTAATAAATTAGTAAGCTTCAAATAAGTAAATAATTAAAAATGAAATTAAAAATTATAACCAACGTAAAGTATATATATTTTCACAAGTAATTATGTTTAGCTTAGCCAAATAAGTAAATTTTTTTGGTTGTTTCTTTATTTTACACCTAAAATTCAAATATGTCTTCACTTTTGAAATAGATTACTAATCCAAATTAGAAAACATTTATAGGTTTACAAATTCCTACTTTTATTTTAATAGAATGTTTTTAATTGGATTGAATTCAGTTCCAAATTAAATCAGATCAGATCAAACTTTAATAATTATAACAATAAGTCACATAAAAAACAGACATCTAATAGATCATATTAATTCATACCAAATCAAACCCGAAATTTTAATTCAAATAAAAACGTTTTTATTAATGAGTATTCTTATTAATGAGTAAACTGTAAGATCTAACGATTAAGAAATATAGTTTTTTTATTATTGGGTTCATAACAATTATGTTTACTTGAGATGCTTATGTAGAAGATCAATTTAACTTTTTTTCATATATTTTTTTCTTTGTTTCATAAATGGAATATATTTCACATATATTTTTCATGATTCAGAAGATTCCACCTATTTAACCAGAATTTAATTAATTTCAGCAAAATAAGTTAATTCTATTTATTTTAGTATTATCAAATAGACTCTATATTAGATTAAGTTTATTTTCCTTTTAAATCACATTATATGTGATCCGATAGAAATTAAATTTCAAATTAGCTAAATTCCATATTGCCCGTGCGATGCATGGGCGCTTGAAAGCTAGTCGTACATAAATCAAGAAGACAGAAAAATTCAGATTACATAAGCGATTTAGGAACAGAAGGCAGAGGGGATTTGAAGGGAGTGGGGGTGACTTGGAGAAACATATAATTGCCTGCAAAAATATCCCCAAAATGGCACTTACTCTCCTTCAACCTCTTGGCGCACGCCGCCACCGCCAGCCTCGCCTTCCTCCTCACCCCCGCCGCCAGCTTCCGAATCTTCACAATCCTCAATCGCTTCCTAATCACCACTCTCGCCTTCCTCACCCCCCTCCCGGAGAAGCTTCTGATCAGCTGCCTCCCCGCCGCCGCCGTCTCGGGCTCGAACGTCGCGCTGCACCCAGCTTCTTTAGGCCTGAGTCTGCTGTAGGAGTGTCTAGAAAGCGAAGGCATAATTTCGATCATCTTATCCGCCTTTATCAAACTTTGAATAGATCGAAATTGTGATGAGAATGAATGGAATGGAGTTAGGCCGGAAATAGAAAGGTAGCTAAGCCGAAGCAGTGGTGTAACAACCTGGGTACGTGGTTTGTCTGTCTTAGATCATCAAAGTATGGGTTTGGTGTTGGTTGGCCATAATTAATTGAATAAAAAAGACGGAATATCCGGTCCCGGAGTCCACCGCACTCAGACCCGACAAGTCACATGGTCGGGAGGAGGTAAATCCGAGGAGGTAAATCACGACGACTCAATCAGCAAAATGACATTACGCTCGTATAACCGTGTGCGAGGTTCAGCTCATTTCAGAGACCTTGTGGTTGACCATAATTAAGTAAATGCAACGTAAGACGAGCCGGCCAATATATGCTACAGCCCGCCAGCTGCCACCACGTATACATATGCATGTGTATAGTGAGTGATTCACGAAGCCTTTAATATATACTCCCTCATTCAGCTATATATTGTTGCTCGCCTTAACTTCACCGCATTTGTTGGAAAATGATTTAACAGATATAGGGGTGTTTGGATATGATTCTTAAAACTGCTTCTGTTCCTTCAGGGAGGAGAAGAAGAAATTGAAGTGTTTGGGTAAAGGTGCAAAAGTGATTCTGGTGCTTTAATTTATCCCTAGAATCAGTTTTTTTAGAAGCTGAGGGTGACCGGCTTCTGAAAACTGATTCTACTTCTGCTTTAAAAAAGAAACAGAAACAGAATCAGTTCCAAACATCCAAATAAATAACGCAAATTGGACGGTACTGTACTTTGTCCATATAGATCAATAAATAACTACCAAGTAAAATTTAAATAATCAAGATAATATTACCCGAAATAAGACTAAAAAGGACTCATGTTTTTATTTCCAAAATAACACTAATTACTGTCATGTTTTGGCAGTACCAAAATTCAAACATGGTAATATTTTCTAAACTTGACAATAATTACTCCTATTTTGGGAATAATTACTCATATTTTGGGAATAAAAACACGACAGTCATATTTTCTAAACATTACAATATTTTCAAACTGTTTGAGTCATATTTCGAGAACTTTCTCAATAATCAATTACATACAGAATATGATATAAGTAGTACCCTCACATTTTGATGGGTATCGTAGCATGCACAATTAATTTGAGATTTTGAGTCACTTGTTTTATGGTGGTAGCCATCTTTTTTGAATGAAAAGGCTTAATATATCAAAATCACACAAATCAGCAATCTGACAAAAGTGACAAGCACTCCCAAATCAGCATAACCCTATGATTAGATATAGAACTACTGGCAAAAGTAATAGAAGATTTCATTTATGACTAGAATTTGGCTGCCCCGGATTCACAGACAAAGACAAAAGCTTCACAAACATTATATGTATAAGGTGTGTACAAGAGGTGTACATCAAGCAGTTTTTGAAGTTTAATTGAATAATCTATTGGCTGGTATAAAAAATCTAATAGGACTGGTGTTAACAGTTAAAAGGCAATACTTTTTGCAGTAGGAGCCTTTACTTTCTCAGTTTCTTTTCTTCTTTACGTTTCAGAAATGTGTACGAGTGTCTCTATTCTGTAACATAGTTTATTGCATACTCCGATGTGCCCAATTCTACTTACAAAAGTGGTTCTATATCGGGTCACGGAGCTTGCTTGCTTGACTGAAGTCATTCATCATATTGTTGCTGTCGAAGTGTCTATTAATACATTCTGTACACTCATAGGAAGAGATACAGACGGCCCCTAATGGACGCATCAAATTCCATAGACAACTCATGAAAACAACAACCCCCTTCTCTCAATCATTGAGAAAACAAATCATTAAGATAAAGGTCAACCAATAAATGTACAGAGTAAAACCAAGACTGCAAATGCTTGGGATACTTTTTTACAAGAAGGAACGAATGAAGGGATGGAGTTACATCACTCAATACAGCTTTATCCTAGTTTGGATTGAGCTGCGACAAATCGGGCATGTTTCCAGCTCTTTCCCACATTCACAACATGTCTGCATCACGAGGATAAATATTATACATATTCATTAGAGCAACTCATTTCTCTCTAATTAAATTAAGAGAAATTTAGTGTTTTCATGTTTATCACATTATTTGACTTAAGACTTTCATGATTTATTTTATGATTGCCCATCCATCCCATGTGGCCCTCAAATTCAAATAATAGGGTTTTTTATGGATTTCTAACATATAAATTCATTACACTTTGCACCTCATATTCAGTATAACATTTCATTTCAGCTTACATCCCAATTGGGGTGAAAAGTGAGAAAATAAAACATGTGTTTCAAAATCAAATATTAGGACAAGCATAGGGGTGTGTATATATCACATTTCCCTTGATCTAAAGATAAAGACAAAATAAGATGTGCAATTCTAACCTGATGTCCACAACCAAAGGCCATATCCTTCCGATTAGTGAGGCAAATTGGACAAACCTGAATAGCGAAAAATAAAATCATATACGTATCTCGTGAGTCGTATAAGAAGCAAGGGTTGGAGAATATGTAAACAACAAGACAAGAACTGTGGGTTTTACTAACCAAATTATCATAACTCGTGACAGGTGCAGAAGGACCGTGGTCAAAATGCCCACCACCACCTACGGCTACAGGATCATAGTAAGAGCTTGTTGTTCTCTGCTCAAAGGCAGATGGTGTGCCGGCCGGTTCCTTGTAGTCATAGTAGGAACTTGAAGTGTGCTGGAAACTTGTTGCTCTTGCAGGCTTTGAACCACCAAATGAAGCTGCGCCATACATTGGAGGGGGGAGGGGAACCCTGTTGGGTGATTTACCTTTATTACCCCTGATGATGAAACCACGAGCAAATCATTTCTGTTTTAGCGTATGTTAACATGTATTTGAGGTGCAAGGTGGGGATGAAAAAGAGAGAGCTTGGGTGGGGTGGAGCCATACATACCCTAACAGACCAAGCTCTATTGTAGCTTTATATTGTGAAGGAATTTCCATCAATGAAGAGAGAGCAAATTCTGTTTCTTTTCGAGATTGAGTCACGGGTTTTGCCATGATCTCCGTAAAATTGACAAACTGGATTTTCGATGGTTATATATGATTTATGATCAGCAAAGCATATTCCAAAAAATAGTTGAAGGAAATAAATACATACCAATAAGTCAACCATTACTAACCTGGAAATTATCAAATTCCCTTGAGGGGATATTATCGTCGAATTCCTTCATCATGTCCCACGGCCCATCTCCAACCCCGACCAAAATAATAGACAGTGGGAACTTGCTGCAGATTGATGACGCCAACACTTCAATAACAACGAAAATCCCATGCCACTTATAGATACTTAAAAAAGGTATATATTGGAGAACGAACTCATACCTTGCTTCTACAATTGCATCAACTGTTTTTTGTTCTTGAGGACTCAACTGACCACGCCCGGTATCAACACTACGAGTTACCTGTCCACAATCAGAAATCAATTTTAATCTGCTGGAAGATATAAGAATAAATAGGGGGTAGGCCGTACGGGGTCCTAAGCACTAAAATACCTGCCCATCAGCAATGATTACTAATACATGGTACTGTCCCCCACTCTGCTCAACAATAGTCATAGCCATTTCGATGACCGGTGCAAAAGATGTTGGACCTGAAAGCCATGAGCTTTTAAAAAATTAGGAAAACAGTTTGTTTGGCTATAAAAAACCAGAATAGTAAAATGTTATCTGACCTGCAAGTCTTAGTTGGGGGACAATTTCCCTGTACCGAGATAAGACTTCCTCAAAACCGTTGCAAAATCTGTCATCTGGATAAAAACTGAACACATCTTGGTCGTGAGTTGATGCTGCATATTCAAAGGAAAGAGTAAATATCCTAACAAAACATTAAAACTATGTACGTAGCAACAACAAAAATGAATGTGCTAACTAAATACCATCTCCAAATCCAAAACATGGGATTAAGTTATCATCATCAAAGGCTGCCAAAGTTTTCCCGATGATGGAAATTGCTTGCTCATAGGGATTAAGACCATGCCCCGTGTCATGCAAGCTTCGCCCACCAAACGCCCTCTTACCTTAAAATAAATAAGCATTCAGAGAGCACTGTAAATTACATCCCGAGTACATAATTCGCAACTTGATTAAACAAAAATGCTTTTACCAGTCCATTCATTGCTCTTTGTGAAGTCGATACCAACAATTAGATTGGAAGACTCCAGTCCAGCGCGTGCAAGAGCTTCAGTTACCTGTAAAGAATAGTGCTGTATTGGAATTTTGGATTACATAAGTAATGCTACAAATTGACTATCTTTTTTTCATTCTTCCTTTTTTCCAAAAAAGAAAGAAAAAGAAAAGAAACCATATTTAGCTCGGTCATCCTTTCCAAGCATAGAACTTGATAGAAGTGTCACAAATCATAGTGCCTAAACCTTACACCTTTTAGATCTTCAAGAGTTTCTTCTACAAATCCCTTTTCATTGCCTCACATATATTTCTTGCACCAAAATGAGAAAAAAGACATTTTGTAAAGCTTTTCCTTGCTAGTATTTTATGACCATATCAGGATTGTGAATCTAATACAGTAATAATCCACTATCAACCATGAAAGAATGAAATACTACCTCCGTGCCTCAAAGAAGTACTTGGTTACTATTCTCTGATCAACTTAAATAGTTTTGGGAAAAGGGTCAAATAAGATTTTCTACTATTATGAAATCGTCACATAAGACCACGTACTCAATAAAGTGTCCTATAAATACGTCCACTTAAAAAAAGCAATCAGATTAGTCCTAACGACCGGTTGACAACCTCCTAATCCCGGTTTTAGCGTACATCTGACCATCTTTTTAGAATAGATTATAAGGCACACGTCAAATATTTAGCTAAGATTGGTTGAAATATAAGGCAAAAATATTAACACGTAACATAAAATCAGGATTAAGAGGTTGTCAATGGGTCATTAGGAATCCATCTGATTGCTTTTTATAAGTAGACTTATTTACACTTTATTGAGTACATGGCCTTAGGTAAGAGTTTCATAATAGTAGAAGGCCTTATTTGAGCTTTTTCCCAATAGTTTTTCATCTTTTACTTTAGGGAAAAGGGGCAAATAAGGCCACGTACTAACAAAAAAAGATCAAATAAGGCCTTATTTATGAGGCTCTGTCCGGCCATCGCCATTTGGGGTTGTTTTCGGTGGAATTTTTTGATGAATTTTTTTTGACCATCTTATTCATTAAGTCTAGTTTACTCATACCGAATTTCAGATAAAAATTTAATCTAGAAGACATTCAAATGAATTCTTGAAGATAACTGCGCTTTTAACTGCGCAATTATCTTCAAGAATTCATTTGAATGGCTTCCCGATTGAAGTTTTAGCTAAAATTTGGTATGAGTAAACTAGACTTACTGAATAAGATGCTCAAAAAATTTCATCACAAAATTCCAGCGAGAAACAACCCAAATGGCGAAGGCCGGACAGAGGCTCATAAATAAGGCCTTATTTGAACTTTTTGTGTTAGTACGTGACCTTATTTGCCCCTTTTCCGCACAACTTTTACCAAATTTGAATTTCTAACTTTTAAATTACTTTCTGAATATTGTAAATTTTATTTGGTAAAAATAATATCCGCATTCACAAGAATCGTTCAACTTTATGAGCAATGGGTCCTTTTCTAAGGGACTGATGGAGTACATACTTGATCTTTCTCTAACAAGTAAAGCTTTAATAATACCATATCTAATATAGAAAAATGAATTAATGACAAGTAAAGCAGAAATAAATGCAAAACTTAAACAAAAACAAGTTCTTCATGAGATTAGAGACATTCTTACCTCTTCCAATGAATGGTAATCGTCTGCAATCCTAGAATATCTCCGGTCAAGCCTCCTCTGTGGCGGCGCGCGGTAAGGACTCCTAAGATCTTGCGGAGGCGCGTGATATGGCTGCGCTGGAGGAGGAGGCGCGTAAGAAGGATAAGCGTGCTGAACTGGGTAATCGTGGGTCTCTGGCGATTGAGTTGGATATGCTGATTGGGGAGGATACTCATAATTCCAGGATGATGAAGCTGACCTAGAAGTACGCCTCCAACTATCGTCCTTGGAACTCTTGCCGCCCATCAAGTCAACTATCGACCCTTAAACTCCTCGAAAAACCTTAATTACTTACAGATGAAAACTCCCACCCGACAAGCTAACACCCACCACAAACGAATCAGAAACGCCTGTCGAAATCAATCGCCCCGGAAACTGAAGCCGGATAAGATACAATAAAATATAGAGAAGTAATTGTAATTACGGAGTCGGGAAAATCAGGGATCTGGAATATACAGAGATCTCGCGTGGCGTAAACGCGGGGCAAATTGTTTAAAGAGAAGGACGAGAAGCGAAAGTTCCGAAGAAAGGCGGCTAAGACACAGAAAGGAGACTTTTCACTTACGTTGTCTTCAGAACTCACACTCCACGAGCCCCATTACTAGGACCGGACAGGATTTTTGGTAACACTATGACTCAGTCGGTCCAATGATGATAGAACTTTTTTCCATGCGCACCAGAGACCCAACCTTATTTCAGGTTCTGTGACTTCCACACGGCCGCTACGGGTTTTGAATCTTGGTCACTTGGTCCAAATTTCTCACCACTGAATCAACTGAGATACCCGTGCGGGTACAAGTTCTCCCTCGTATAGATCGTGGGGTTACAGATACTTACAATTCGTTTGTTTTGTCGAATTTGGAGAGTCCAGGAGTAGAAATTAATTTGCTTATACCACGTACTTCGTATCGTTTTTACGGATAACCTTCATTGGTGACATTCTGATTTGTCATTACATAACCCGCTCGTCAGGTTAAGATTGTCACATTTTAGTTTTTCGGGAGTCTCATTAAGATTGTCTCATACTAAATTTGATTAAGTTCGTGTGACCCTAAATCATTTTTACTTTATTCTCAGATTATCAATTCAATATCAACCACATAAACCAATTTTTCTTAATAAATGTCTCACTTTCTTTCGTCACAATGTTAATGGAACGATTTTTCTTAATAAATGTGTCATCTTCTTCAGTCACAATGTTAGTGGAACGGAGATAGTACTCCGTAATAATCTTTGATACGGAGAATATGCTTCCTCCATTATCCTAACATCTATTAGAATCATTTAATACTACTAGTATATGTTTTTGTGAATTGGTAAACCACTTTTCGTCTAATCGCTTTTAGGAGACACGTTTCATCAAGTAGTTATCATATCGTAATTACTTTTTTATATTTTAGGAACTTTCTCGGCAAGTCTATCCTCATGGACCTCATCATTCACTTCTTCCTTCAATTTTTTTTAATTTTTAGGTTCTTTCTAAGCAAGTTTTGATATAGTGTGAACAGTCAGCTTGTCATAGCTCACAATTGACCCCGAAGTTTTGTCAAACTAATCAAAAATTGAAATCGTAGAACATCGATTCAGCGATAGACAGTTAGGCACTCTTTGGTTGGCACGAGGGGAGGGAAGTGGAGGATTTGTGTGTGTTTGGTTGAAGGTAATAAGAGGGAAGGGGAGGAAAGTGGAAAGCTTTCAAAATCCTCCACTTCCTCTCATTCTAAGCCCCCCAAATCGGGGTATTTCGGAGGAAACGTGTTGATAACTACAAACTATACATCTCCTACATGAATGGACAAAACGTTATAATATAAAAAGGTAAAAAACAAAAAGTTTTGAAAAATCAATAAATTTAAAAATTTAAAAATTTAAAGATTAAAACATTTAAAAATTAAAAAATTAAAAATTATAAAAATAAAAAATTATAAATTAAAAATTTTAAAAATTAAAAAAAATTAAAAAAAATCCAAACTGAAAAATGAAAAATTATAAAAGTAAAAAAGTAAAAAATCAAATAAAATAAAATTATGACTCATGACCATAGGAGTAATATTCACAATAGTTAAACATGTATCTATTTTTGTAAGTAAGCTATCAAATAAAAGTAAATTGCGAAAATATTTTCATTAAACATTTCCTCCTATTTCCTCCAACCAAACACAAATTTTTATCAAAATCCTTCCCTCTCCTTCCCTTCCTTCCTTGACTCTCCCCTTCCCTCCCCTCCTTTGAACCAAACAAGGCCTTAGATTCTTGACTCGAGGTTTACGTATAAAATAATATTGACACATTATTTAGATAATAATTAAAATGGTAATTGAAGTATATTTTGAGAAAAAATTAAACTTTTAAGGTTTGTTGGAAACAAGTTTCTCTCTAGGGTTACCTCCAGGTAACACCTAGCTTCGTTATTTGTCCGCTGTCGGCTTCGTCGAGTGGGGGGAGGCAATTCGTGCTTTGGGCTCTGTGGCGGAGTCTCGTCCTCGGGTTTGGAGTTGAGCAGTGGAAGAATTAGAAGGTTTTCGTTTGATCACGAAGCGGGGTTGTTCGGTATTTCGTCATTCACGAGGCGGCGGGCTCGACAGAAGACGAGGCAGCACGGCTGGTATGGAGAGCTTCGTAGACAAGTATAAAAAGATGGTGATTGGAGCAGAGGAGGAAGAATTGGATCTGGATGAGGGAGATATTGAGGAGGTACCGGTGAAGGTAAACAACCCGGGGTTTCCGGTGGTGGGAATGCTGCTGACAGACAGGAATGTTAGATTTGCGGCCCTTAAGGAACTCATGTTGTAACACCCCGGCCCCGTAGGCCCCGAGATAGTTACTTCTGACCTCTAGTACTATCCTCACAAACCGCCACTAGCCTTGTCCTCACTCGTGCGCGTCCTGAGAAACTTCCCAGGGGGTCACCCATCCCAAAACTACTCCCGTGGAAGCACGCTTAACTTTGGAGTTCTTGGCTAATGAGCTCCCGTGGAAGCACACTTAACTTTGGAGTTCTTGGCTAATGAGCTCCCTTAAAAGGAGATGCACCTTGTTGGTATGAGTAGTACTATTAATCCATTTAAATTAAATCTCAAGTATTACAATTACCCCCACTTAGGAACGCAACATCCTCGTTGCGCCCATAAACCAATCTCAATAATATCCCAGAATCTTTTCCCCTCCTAAGTGCCCGCCCGATATCCAACGGACCAGCACACTATCGCAGGGTTGCTCTGATACCATTCGTAACATCCCGGCCCTCCAGGACCCAAGGTAGTCACTCCAAACTCTCTTCGGACCAATAGTACTGTCCTCACAAACCGCCACTAGTCTTTTTCGCGCACTTTGTCCTCACTCGTGCGCGCCCTGAGAAACTTCCCAGGGGGTCACCCATCCCAAGACTACTCCCGTGCAAGCACGCTTAACTTTAGAGTTCTTGGTTAATGAGCTCCCTTAAAAGGAGATGCATCTTGTTTGTATGAGTATTACTATTAATCCATTTAAATTAAATCTCAAACACATGTCTTCGCTAGGGAGGCCAGTAAAAGGAATGACAATATAATCATAGAAGTTGGTGATAAGAGGTACCTTTTTACTTCCAATCATCGTGTTGATATGAACCGTGTTATTGATGGTGGTCCATGGCAATTTGACCGTAACCTGTTATTATTAAAGGAGGTGAAACCCGATGATATTCCACACAAAATTGGTTTAAATGAGGCTGACTTTTGGGTTCATATTCATAATGTTCACTATAGCCTGGTGAACCTAGGTACTGCAAGACGAGTTGGAAATTTTATTGGAAAATTTATAAAATATGATGATGCTCAAGATAAGGAGAAGTGGGAGCCCTTTATGAGAATTAGGGTGTGTATGAACGTTGATAAACTTTTGAAAAAGAGTACCAATCTGAAAAAAGAAGGAAAAAGTTCTTGGGTGGATTTTAAGTATAAGAAATTGCCCAATTTCTGTTTTATATGCGGGTTAATAGGGCATTCAGATCAATTTTGCCCGTTAACTTATGAAGTAGATATTGTGTTGGGGAAAAAAATTTGGGGTTCAACTTAGAGCAGGGATTGGGGTGAAGATCAGTCCTACAGGAGGTAGCAAATGGCTGCTAGAGGGTTCATCGAGCTCTGGCAGAGAGTACAGGTATGTGGAGGAGATCAAGTTTGATGGCAGGCAGGAGGGAGGGGAGAAAGAGTCTGTCTCAGAATCAACGCAGAGCAGTACTAAAGGCTTGGGAGTGGAAACAAAAGAGAAAAATTCAGGGAACAGAAGAGAAGAAGGATTTGCGAATCCCAGGGGGAAGGAAAGATTGGAGAGGATAATGTGGCACTGGATGGGAGTCATGGGACAAAAAACGGGGAGGGGGCGGACTTCGATTTGTGAGACCGCCAAAGCAGATGCAGTTAGAATGGATGAGGACGTTACGGCTGCTCGTGTAATTTGGCAGGCTCGGGCAGAGTTTCAAGATTATTTGCTTTATTTTTTGTTTAGTGACAAATGTCTTTGCATTATCTTTTGTTTTGTTTTTATTGTTCTTGTTTGTAAGACGATGGATTTGGATATAGGTGATGGGAGGATTGCGGTAACCGTCTTTGGCTCATTTGTATCCATTAATGAATCAACGAATTATATTGCTTCTTTGGAGGTGAGTAATTCCAAGTCTCGTTCGCGGGACGGTGGTTGTCAGGAATCTTTTTGTCGGATTACCTAATATCTGAATGATGTGTTATCAATTTAAGCTTATTTCTTTCAAAAAAGTATATTTTTGAGAAAAAAAATAATGGATGGTTATATGGTACGTATAATAAGGTCATTGATATGGTAACGTGATACCACCTCCGTCCCCCTGTTATTGTCCCATTGCGGTTTACGATGCTTGACCGACGATAAAGCAAACAGATCCTTGTCCGCATTCAAACTATTTTTAGAAAAACAAAATTACATATTAAGAAACTACATTAAAAGCTTTACGAAGTCGCAAAAACCAGAATCAAATTTGATAAAGTTTTGATACATAAAGTAAGAGATTAAGAGTAATTTGTGTTGATCAGGTGAATAGGAAATGAGACAATAATAGGGAGATGAAAGGAGTATTATATATACATTTTTTTAATACTAGAAGATTAGACTGTCATTTAAGAGTATTAATTATTTTTTGAACCGAAAATGATACGCAGTAAAAAAATATCCATTCTTGCGAATTCAAATACTCAAAATTTTTAGATGAATACAATTTCACTTTATTTACATACGTAATATTTTACATATCAATTACTCCATATGTATTAGTGTATTAGAATGCATGCTACAATTGGATTTGATACAATATTTAAGAGAAAAATAGTAGAGATAACAAATAGTGTAAAAAGGTAGGAGAAAATGTGTAAAACTATGAAAGAGAAGAAAAAATAGAAAATATAAGAGTAATTGAGTATTTGCAAAAGAAAAACTTATCAAAAAAGAAAATGTATCCAAATTTAAATGCATCCCAAAAGGGAAAAATTTAGCAAACAAAAGAATACACAATGTAGTAATGTAGTTTTCGTTTTTGTAAATATTAATTATTAAATGATTCAATTATCGCAAAGTTGATCTGACTTTAATTTATTGATGCCCAACTCTAAAAATCGTAAAATGCAATTCAATTCGGGATAGAGAAAGTAATTACTCTTGAGAAAGGAGATTATGTGATCTTTTGGTCAACTTTGTCATCACACGTGTAATTTTTTTATTACACGCAGTGAATACTATAATAATCATATGATTTTTATTACTTTATTAATAAAATACTCCTTATATGTCAAATATTTTTTCTCATAATTCATTAGATTCAATGAATTAGTCGCTTCAGCCGTAATTTCATGAATTTTTGCAGATTCAATCAATTTCA